GCATCCGCAAACTTCTTGTTGAACATGAAGGAGGAATACATATGCATGGCTTCTCTATTCAGCAGCTTATGGTTCTCCTAAAAGAGTGCCTAAACTGCTCGATTTTCAGATGATCTGGGAAATATTTCGCGCAAATAAGAGGGATGTTAATGGGACAGCGACTGGCACCAAGTCTTCCCATTGTGTTTATATCTAAAATAGAAGCCCCTGTTCTCGATCTCCGCCCACCACTCTACTGCAGATATGTAGATGATTGTTTTGTCGTCTTCTCTACGCAAGAGGAGATGGACAAATGCTTCGAAATACTGAACGAGCAGTCCGAGTACATAAAGTTCACCCGGAAGAAACCGAGAAAAAACTGGCTTCCGTTTTTAAACGTTCAAATAAACCTGTCAAGTAGCGGTTACTTGACAAAGTGGTCCCGAAAGCAAAGTAACAAGAACATCCTCGTTCATTTCCTTTCTTCCCACCTTTCACACACAAAGAAGGTGCTCGTGAGGAACATGTTTCGAACAGCCACCTCTGTGCGCACAACCAGGGACTAAAGGAAGAATCGCGCGACTTGGCTTGGAAAATAGCCATCTCCAATGGCTACGGAGTAGTAACCCCACGAGATATGTTTAGAAGGAGAGCGACGCGCCCAAGCGAAACACTTGGCCGAAAGAAAGTCCCGTTTACGTTGCCTTTTATTAGCGATGAAGTAAGCGTAGCTGTTAAACGATGCTTAAAAGGGCAGGTCTAGAGGGATCGGTAGCGATAGTTGAAATACCACCGGCTACTCTACGTCGTCAGTTAGTTCGTAACCGCCTGTATGAACGTCTATGTGAAACAACAAATTGCTTGGTTTGCGCTTACGGCAGGGACGGTGATTGCATGAGTTCAGGTACGATATACCTGATCTCTTGTAATAATTGCGGAGATGAATATATTGGCGAAACGGGCAGACCTTTGTGTATCCGTATAAAAGAACACCTAGTTGGCAAACGAAAACTAAGACGAAGCACCCCACTAGGCACGCATAGGATACAAAAGTATAGCGGAGACGATTTCGAAGTAAAAGTCAATATCCTTGCACAGGAGTCCAAGACACCGGCGCGAAAACTCCTTGAGGCTTTTTGGATAGATGCCAAAACCCCTGCAATGAATAGCAGGAATGAATGCCCAGAGGTCATACGCGACCTCACCCCGTATGTTCCTATCAATTTCTGATGTGTGATGGTGCAGTCATCAACCATATGCGACTATAATCAGCTGTTCTAATCTTCCTCATTGGAAGTCGCGTAAAAAGCGGCTCTGAAAAAGGCGATACATCCGAAGCGTCAGCTGGCGTTGTATTGTATTGTGTTTTTCTATGGAAGTAAATGTATGCTGTTTAACAACCTCGCGATTGTTGAACAAGAAAAGGGATTTATATTCCAATACCGAGGTTAATAGAAAGCGATCCTGAGTAGTGTTACTATTCCTAGAATTCGGTTAAATATCATTTCCGTAGTGAAACGTATCTTACCATGTTTCTATTTGCTTCCGTTGTCATTTTTAAGATTTCCATTAAACGACGCCTATCGAACTGATCCACTTCTTCGCCAATAATTATGTCCAAAATCTGAACAAAATTTACACGATGAAAGCATTCTCACAGTGCCTTTTCCAATGAAGCAATCAATGAACTTTTAGATCACAATTGACTTACTACTAACTTGAGAGCAGATTTCTCCTTTTTCGCCCTAACTGTTGACAATTAATACTTGATACTTGATACTTGAACGGCCCGTCCTCACTAGTTGTGCGGCCCCAGCATAATCACCATTTTTCGGAGATTTGCTGGTTAAGCCATTATAGTTCCCCGGAATCCCGATGACAGCCTAGCCAAAGTCTGCCTCAGGTCGTCACCACGGCAGGCAGTCGCAGCATTTGTGGATCAGAGGTAGATCTGCCACCACGCGAGTTTGATGCGAGTACAGGGGCGGATCCCGGTATTGGTTTACTCTTAGCTAGGCTTCCTGATGAAAACGCCGGACTCCTTCTCAGCTTGGGAGGCCCTGCCGTGAGACGAATCCCCCCGCTGTGCATCGCAGTCCGACACCCAGGAACACCTCCCACCCACGATGAGGCGGTAAACCGTTGGGAGGTGACAGTTAATAGCATTTTACAATTCTTCACCTTAAAAACTTTTCTTGATAAGCAATAAGTATGTCTATCATGATGGAACAGCTTCAGAGTGCAACAAGTTAAACAGCTGCTGAAGTTGGCTTAACTAAACTTACAATGAAAATTCTGGTTTCAATGGTTGAGGACACAATGAATTATAAACTAAACACTCCAACCATCTATTCGCTACAACCTTACTTGTTAGTCCTTGTAAGCTATCACGTCACCCTTTGAACAATAGGAGAGGTCCTCACGGAAAGAAGCTGCGGTTTTGAACGCAACAGCAAAAGAATTTCTCTAACCTAGTGAGGAAGTTGATCGCAGATCATAAAAAGATTCCAGCAAACAGATAGCATCAAAAAACAGCTATTTAAAGAAAGACGTAATGATCATATTTCTATTTTTCGACACTCCATATGTTGCGTCGTTTTCTTGTTCAGCAATCGCGAAGTTTTTAAACAGCATACAATTACTTTCATAGAGAAACACAATACAATACAACACTAGCTGATGTTTCGGCACTATCGCCTTCTTCAGAGCCGCTTTTTATGACTTACAATGAGGAAGTTTAGAACAGCTGATTATAGTTGCATGTGGTTGACGACTCGTCAGAGTGCTCTAAACTTCCTCATTGGAAGTCACGAAAAAGCGGCTCTAAAGATGGTGATACTGCCGAAACGTCAGCTGGCGTTGTATTGTATTGTGTTTTTCTATGGAAGTAAATGTATGCTGTTTAACAACCTCGCGATTGCTGAACAAGAAAGCGACGCATTCATATTCCAATGCTGAGGTTAATGGAAAGTCGATCCTGGGAACTCCATATGTTGATCGAGCGCAAGGTTTAAATGCTTAGAACGTCTTACCATCGGTGGTCCCACCTATGAGAAGAGGAAAAAAGAAGGTTTAATTAGTTTTCTTACATAACGTGGTAGGCAAATAACCTGGGCGTGGTATTAAAACAAAGGTATTTTAACTAGACCTAATTTCCCTACACTGGAAATTAGCACTAACGTTATGGTAGTAAGCAGCTATGAAAAAGTAGAATCCACGAAATAAATTTTTTTTTGAACTACGGTGAGAAAAAAACTGCCCGGCCGAGTAAGTGTCGTAGGTTTCTTAGGTTAACGAACATTCCAAATGAATTTGCGTATTATACGTGACAAGGAAATGTGACAATTTAATTGGTGTAGCTTTGTAGTTTTTGCGAACAAAACAGGATCAGGATAGTTTTGATTTACCTTACTTATCGGATACGATAAGGGGCAAGTAATCCACATGAAAAAACGTGTAAGTAATATCGTCCTTGCGCCAATAGCCAATCCATGCCTAGATTTGAGATACAGTTAAATGTGATGTCTCCTTGAAGTTATGTCCTGTTCTCTGTTCATCTTTAATTTAGAAGATACGTTATTGTTCAATAAGAGTTACTTTTTACAATAGCGAAATAGACGGCGTCAGAGCATTCCGAAGCAGTTCGCACTCGTCGTCCGAGGACGAATTTTCCAACTTATGTTTGAGTTTCATCCAGCACGATGGCCATTCGTTGTATTTGTTCATCTTTCGTCAAGGACTCCAGGAGGAATTTCTCAGCCATGTTCAGTTTAGATGACCATACCTTAGGTGGAACTCCTGTTGTATGTCACAGTTTGACACTAACGAATACCCAAAACGTACAATGGTACCGTTAACAGCAAAAAACAGGAAGAAGTGATCTTTGTGCTGGGAAGTATACCACTTCTTACGTCTTATTGAATAACTATTTTAGACCTCGGTTTTAACCGTTAGTTTTTTCGCAGCCAGTGAATCTAGTAATTTTGCAGCAAACAAAAGAAAGGCCTCATTTATGCGCCATTCTAAACGCATGGTGCGTTAAATAAGACTGTATTGAATCAATGTCGTGCATTAGAATTGACGAAACAAGTTTAAATTGCCCCGATAGTTAGGCTGCGTTTGAGCGTGCATGCCCAGGCACTCAGGTAGGCTGTTTTAACAACTCTTGATGGTTCCAGGGGTGCAGCGATCACTAAAGAAGGTGATAAAGTCGCTATACAACTTCGGCTGCAAATTTAGACTCTGTTACCTTTGTTACTCAGAATGTTGAATGTTTGTTGAGGTTTACTGTCCTTGAAGACGAGAAACAGAATGGTTAACGCGTTCTCAGACCGTCACCACAAAGAGTTACTGGCTTTCCTTTTGATCGGAAGAAATTTCCGGCCTTTGACGCATTTTCGCCTTCAGAGATTCTTGCAATGACAAGAAATCGTGCGCTTACTCGACAGATCAATTCACGATGATTCAACAAGCCGAATCTATGGGTGGTAATATTGAACGACATCTACGGCTGTGCTATATGCATGAGGGACACTTCAAACTGTTGGTTGTACATCGCAACCTTCAACCGAACTGGATTACCAAATCCAAGGTCCGGATTTCTTTTATGCTTGGCATTGATCAATAATCCACTGTTTTTTTTATGACGAAAGATGAGCTTGCTATTACACTATATATTCATCCACAATAGCCGACGTTTCGGCGCTTTTGCCAACCTTAGAGCCTGGAAGAAAGGTGAAAATGATGCGCAATTTGCACATTTTTATAACTTCAGCAAATAAAGCATAGTACATTTCTCTTCGCATAGCAAACTATCTCACAACCATGGGAATGAAGATTTATGCACCAAGTTTTACCTGCTGAGCTTATGAAAATATTTGGTCGGGTAGATCGCGCATGAATGTGACCTTTCCGCCAAGCTCTGAGGAAGGCGAAACCGTCGAAATTGGCAATTTTGAATGAATAAATGCTATAACAACCATCTCGTGTCTCCTTATCAAGAGAACAGTCAACTGAGTTACTTACTTCACACATGCACTTTGTGGAACGATCTCACCAAACACGACTATTCCCAGTGATGCGGTAATAAATGCAACACTACCAGATGTGAGATCTTCGAACAGAATTGAGATTGCGGCGTTCACCACCTGAAGCGTTTACGTTTCAACATTTCGTTATCACAAGCAAAACTACTTCCTATTACATTGGTGTATAACGACAGCAAAAAGAATTTGTTGTAATAAAATACCACGTTCATGATTAAGATGGTGCACAGAAGATAATTGCCCATTTTCCTTACAGGCAAGATTATCTTCGCGTATTTCGCTTTCTTTTTCGAGCCTTAAAATAAATTGGATTGCCACTAGGAGCACTATTTCTGGGAAGAGCTTCTTCTTTAAATTTTAACTCTCTCAATGCTTTAAAACGATATAAAACAACCATACTAACCACTTTTAATAATCAGTTTCAGCTCTTGAATAGACAATGACATAAGTCCGAGGTTCAAACCGGAGAACAGAGCAGACATTGCAAATAAAACAATAAGTATAGTAATCTAAACGTTAAACTCCTACTGAAAAGAACGGTATAGTCAGGAATTTTTCGCGAAGCTCAATCGCTAAGGAAAGTAATTTTGCGTTCCATAAGAAATGTATGAAATGAACTCAATTGAGGGTCACCTGCAAGAAAAGTGGCATGTAATGCTCTTTCATCGTCTCCGCTGTGTTAATCCATGTTCGATCGTCATCAATCTGCAGAAAAACGCCGAAGAATATCAAAATTATCACAGCGTAACGCTTTCGCACTAACCAGTTGAAGTTCGCCCATTCGGCCTTGTTGTTTCACGCACATCCTCCAAGAATCTTCACAACTTAGAAAAATGTCTTTTAATATTGCTAATTATTTCGAAGGAGAAATATGAATCAAAATAGAAAGTGAAGGAATAACTTGCAAACATCGTTATATTTAACAGAGAAGTATTATATTATTAGGACACGTATTTATTGCTTCAGGAGAAGGATAACACAGTGGCTGTGATGTCCATTCACACAAGCATGGTGCTAGTTGGATTCCGCTCCGAGCCAACCAACCCTGTCATCCCTCCGGCGTCGGGAAATTGGTGCCGGACTTGTCTGGGAAAAAAAATCACTCTCCGCAATCCAGTTAGGAGCACTCCAGCCCGGCTATCTGAGAACTTCAGGAGAATTCTGAGAACTCGACCAGCATTTTACGACATTCAAGATGAAATGAAAATCCTCAAACAGCAGCCGAAGCCACACGTATGTGTAAAGATTTCCGTGGACAATGGATGCGAGGAAACGTATCGAATATGAGAAGTGCTGGGATCGGTATACTAGAAGACGGGTCATATGAAGGAATGATAAGCTTATTGCTCCACTTTTTTGCATATAAATTGCGACTACTTCGGCCATTTCCACTCCAGTGAAAATCTAACAAGAGATAACTACAAGGAATGGACTAACTTTGGAAACGACATCTTCAGCTCGATTCGTGTTTCAGTTTGGAGAACAAAGTTATCTCGTGATATGTTGAATTCTGACGTCAAACAAATCGAATCAGTGAACGTAATGTATTCAATCTGAAATTTTTACTAGTATTCGCTGGTTCATTCTGGTTACAATAAATAGTGAAGCAGACAGTATACCTTGTCTAACCAATAACCGAAAACGACCACTAGTACCGGCACGTTTGGCTCAACTATTAACTCCCAAGCTTCTCTAAAAGACTACGACTGTTCTCTGTGTGGTTTTGAAGAAAGAAAAAACGTGCAGTAAAACCGTTATAATTACAGCTCAGAGAAAGATTTGATACAAAATAGATCTGCTTGGCATTCATAATCTTCTGCGATGTGCAGTTTTGTCGGTAACTTTCACCTTACTTGAGCAAGAAATGAAAAGTCGTGCCAGAACTATTATGCGAACAATGTCGTTCATATCATTTCGTATAAATTTCTCCCCACGTGTATCCAATGAATCCTTTATCGCCTATAGGATTTTCCACGCGAAGTCCAGAGACATGTGGAATGACTTGCAGCGTTTCCCAGCTCTGCTAAAATGGCATTTGGTATAGTCGGTATATTTGTTTGCCTCTTTTCCTTATGAAGTTTCGTCGAACGCTTAACTTCGATATAGGATTTGTAGAACAACTATCATAACATTACATATTGACTCCAACATTAAGTATTTGTCATGTCAAGATGCATACCTCATCATGAGAAATGGAACGAGTTGTAACTAAAATGATGACCAAAGCCGTGAAGAAAGAAAGCATTGAAAGCCTGTCGTCCTTTCTGAATCATTCAATGTGGAAAAAAGTAATAAACTCGGTGGATGAAATATGAGATCGATCCAGAACAGTTGCAACAATCGCTATACTTAGCAAATCAATCAGCGGAACCGGTTGATCACGCGTTGAGAATTTCGATGCGAAGATTAATTTCCGTTATAGATGTTGACCATACGAAACGGAACCAGTCTTATCACTCCATTTTTAGGATCGATAGGACTTTTCTGTACTTGGGTTTTATTTTCACCTATCAGTGGTGTTTATTTGTCCTTTCAGCATCATCTGACACTTTTCACAAATTTCTTTTTCCAACTTTCCGTATGTCGTCAAGTGCATGGAATGAGCAGAAGCCATACAAGTTACATGTAATGTGGAGTTGATATTTTCCAAAATTAAGAAATTTGTTACATAAATACTGTAAATTCATTGGCTAGTTTTCCAGCATAAAAAGAATACCACCACTTTTCAAAGGCGATTCGGAAAGCAAGCTTGAGGGGTGGCATTCTAGTCTACTGTTTGTATTTTGTTAGAATGTTTCGATTTAAATACGTTAGCTCAATCTACCGATCCGTTTTTAGTTGGTTCTTCTTTTATATTTCAGTTTTGTGGGAATTATTTTCAAGCAGCGTAAAAAAGCGACAACTTTGGAACTGTCTCATTAACTGAAAATGAAATGACCGTATTTTTGCCGTTTTCATTTTCCTGTTTTCTTTTCACGTACTTATTCGGATGAAAGCACTTGCATCAATTTCTTCTCGTATTTTGTTTCAGGCCTTAAAAATCACAAAGCTTCAGCTGAGTGAACTCCGTGTTTCTTAATAGTAAACCCACACATCTAATACCCACAACAGTAAAATCACAACCCAATCTAATCCACAGTAAACCCCACAAACCCACACAAATAAAGATTTAAAGGAAAAATAACTTAAGAAGCTTAGTTATCTTTTCGGAGAGCGAACAGTGCTTCAATTGTGGTGCTTTCAATAAGCACAACGGTCTATTTCGACGTCGCACCAGGACAAGCATTTCTCCCATCTCTACGAGCACAGGAAAGTGGCACCAGAATGTGGGAAAACCTCTTTCCATTCCAGAAAGTCTGGCGGCCACTTTTGGCAAAAACTGCGAATGTTCTAGCAAAGTTACTTGAGGATTCCAAAGCAAGTCGACTCTCGACCGACATTCAAAGACAACGAAAGAGAAGGCCAAAAATCCTCTTGCAGCAGCCCAACCCACATACAAATCCGAATACTTCCGTGGGTGATTTATGCGAGGAAACGAATCGAGTGGGTGCTGGAATACGCCTAAATGTGATTTCGCTTCTTCTTAATATAATATTACATACCGAAAGGATTGCATTGCACTACGACAGTAGACAGTGCTTAAATTACTTTTTTACGAGAAGCAACGTCTGAATCTCCAAAATTAAAAATTAGCTTGTATTTCACAAATCTGAGCCTATGAATGATTGAAGAGTAAACTTTCAGTTTAACGCCTATAGCTTTCCGTTTAATCTTCACAACTCGATCTTACCATTTCATGTATAATAATTTTCACTTTGGCTACCGTGCTAGAAATTTCCTTGTTTTAAACCGACAGAAGAAAAGGCCGATTGAGGGAAAAGAATATAACTTTTTATTCGACGAAAATAACTATTTACATCACTGGTGTACAGTCTTCTTCCATGCTTTAACGTCGCTTATATTATTTAGTACGGATATTGCAGAGCTACTTTTGCTTGTTGAAGCCATGTTCTTCATCAATCGCTTACATCTTCATAGTGGCCAGAGGTGTTCCTGGATTGTTGAAGGACTATAATGCAACAAGCAGAGTAAGAATTGATTCTGCTGCATGGTCAGTCGAGTTCAGAAGGAATTCGTCACTTCAACTTGGAAGCCTAAATAAGAGTAAACAAATGGCTAGACTTGCTATCGCTCGGAAACAAGCCTAACCACTAAGTGACAAAACTCTCTTCAACCTACTAGCGTTGGTGATTGCCTGTCTTGAAAATATGGGAGCACCACACAACAGCTGCCTTGATAAGAACAAATAAAGAATTGCTCCACTAAAAGAATATGAGTTAAATAAGAACTGTTCTGGAGTCCATACAAGTCATTAAAAGTTTTCATTCAAACAGCTAATTGTTCGGCAACATATCATAAAATTATCATATAGTTCTAAGTATTGTGTACGATTTCGAAAAGCATATTTCACTAACTGATAACGATAATGCCAGAACGAGATAGAGCTTGTCAAGCGTTGATAATAAAGAGCTGATACATACGCAACCTGGGATACGAAACAAGGTGTTTGTTCTCTAGTCGCTTTTACCCATAATTTTCGTCATAATGATTATTGGATTCTAATCAATAAGCGAGGAAAGCCAGAATAGGCTAAACTGCCTCACCTTGGAGGACGAGAAAACTGATTACAAGCATAAAATAACTCAGAAGCAATATTTACTTTTTACTTTCCGCCTACTGCAATTTTACGACAGGGTATCAGGCGAAATACAACCACAATATTGCTGAGATTTTTGCACAAAACCTCGGACTGCATGTGTCTGTGGTGGGGACATGCGGGTCGTTCGTTTCGCATGTCACTCAGCTAGTTCTATCGATCAGTGCGATCAGCAATCAACCGTCAACACGACTGGTCTGGGGAGCCCACATCGGCATTGAACCTGCATGGTGTGTGTGGTGAACGCGTTAGCCGCCGGAAAGGGTAGAAGCGCGTTGTTCTCCACTGCGGACACCTGCGGTCCGGAGTTTTGTAAATATTTCAGCAGTATTTTAGCTTTATTCAGCAGCAATAGTTTGCAATTTTAGACGCCATAGAAATGTTGGAAACCACTCGTCGTCTCAATGAACATACCCTGTGCTGAAGAAATAATTCTTCCTACAAGATTGGCAAAACATGCTCAATCACTTGCTTGGATACCGGGACGGCTCGTCCTCACTAGTTGTATGTGTCCCCACATATTCTCAATTTTGTGGAGTTCCACTGGTTTAGCCATTGTGATTTCCTGGAGTTCCGGCTTCATCCTGGCCAAAATCTGCCACAGATCGTCTACACCACAGGCAGCCGCCGCCCTAATGGATCACAGGAAGATTTGCCACCATGCGATTAGTTTGAACTAGGATTGTGGTGGATCCTAAAACCGATTTACTCTCAGTTGGACTTTCGGATGGAAACGGCAAACTCCCTCTCAGCTTGGAAGACCCTGCTGGTGGATGAATCTCCCGCTGCACACCGCAACACGACACCCAGGAACAGCTCCCAGCCACGATAAGGCAGTAAACCATTGGTAGGGTGCTCAATTAACTTGTCGTTTAAATAAAACATTGGAAGCATGATATCGCGAACATTTATGCATACAAGTAATGACTACCACCTCTAAGCAACGCATGAACAAGGACTTCAACTGTAAACTGCGATGTTCTTCGCGTTCTTTTCAACTAGCAGACTCGCACCGTAGCCATTCGGACGAGCCGAACTACTACTATTAAAGTTCTAATCTGCAGAGATGAATAGAGAATTTACTGGTCCGCATTAGAGTCAGTCAATGATATGACAGGCGATGTTGGTAATATTTTGGCAAATTCTTTTCTTGCACAGCACATACCTTAGAACCCAGATAGGCTTTATGTTGTAGCTTCGAAGTAATGAAGAACAGAAGCCAAAAATTATCGGGAAAAAAATGACTGTCAATACAAAGCCACACAGTTCCTAAAGGTACTCAGACCACGAGTTATCCCATTAGCAAATGAAGCACTAATTTGTTAAATAAAGACCATTACTGAAACGCTATGACCAATACCACTTCCTAAAATCGTCCATTTTTCGTCAGACACAATTTGAGTATGGTCAAGTATCGCTTTAATGGTGTCGACCCACATGAACGTTTATCATTAATATGATAGGCGAGATGAGACATATTCGTTCAAGTCCTTGGTACCGACAAGAGATACTGTGGATTTGGTTCGAAATATTTTTATGAGATTACTTCATATATGTGTACTAATAGAAAAAAAGACAACAGTGAAAGCATGCAGCAAGACAGGCACAAACGCGTGTAATAGAATGGTTAACGGTGAACTGCAAATCACATGTTCACAGCCAGTCGTTACATAGAATCTTTTTCAGCAATACAGAATTAATATTAATATTCTAATATAAATTCGCACGTAGCGCAGTAGTTGGAAATCCTCTAGAACTTGTGTAGACTTTTGGTTCGATTCCGCGTCTCGTGCAAAGCAAGTTCTTTATCACTACAAGGTCATCGAATTACTAGCGAATTTGTCCGAAATAGCAGAAGCAATGACTTGATACATTCCTATATGCCGAAAGTCACTGTGTAGACCAAATAATTCATTATTTCGTCTCTATGACGCTTAATAGACTGGAATATATGGCGCATCTCATTGGAATTTATCAACGAAACGCAGAGCACTTTATTCTTTGGTGTTACAAAGATTCAGGTTGTTACATTGTCACTAAATGATCAGTCTAATAATCGCAAAAATCGCCGTCATCCTGGAACAATCCTCGTGGTATGGTGCTAAAATACCCTTAGGTCTACCCGTACTGGCGAAGTGACAAGAGTTACCTCAGCATAGCTGTCTCAGAAAGCTGACGTAAACGGCGTTCGGCCAACATATGTGCTGAAAGGCGGCAGCATGGTAGCTGATTAATTAACAACCCCTGAAGCCACACGCCATGGAGACTGCTTACGATTTGTTATATTTAATGTCGTATTCTCAGAACTTCATCTTATTCTCGATGCGGCAAACCGTACGAAATAAGATTTGATGCCCACTCGAGCTAGCAAAAAGACTATCCCTCGATATCTGACTGATGGGATCCATATAGATTCAGGAAGATTTTATCGCTTAATGTTCTGATTGCGTTCCTTCCACAGGGCAGCATCCAGTTGCATACTCTGTCTGTCTGCTGTTGTGAAATTCATAGTCATCAACTGGGCTCTGAGCAAGATGAAGATGTTGAAATGTTAGCTGAATAAAACTTTTTATCAACCTTGTGTTAATTCATCAATTGAAGAATATGTATTGACCAGCCATGGCAACGTTAAAGGAAAGTTGGTTTCCGAAATATCCTATCGCAGTTGCTAGCGGAATATAGGCCTTCGAGTTAGTTATCGACACTGAATAACCACTAACTTTAAACAGAATGCTCGACTTCGTAATAGGACGCCACGCAGGACTTTTCGTAGTTGACACAGGACAACAGCTTTCGACACTCAAACTTCTGATTAAATCTTTATATACATAAAGGCAAGACCCAATACAACAGGAATAACGATGAAAAGAATACTGGCGTAAGAATAAGGCAATCAAGTCGAGCGTAAGACTCATAAAAAAAGGCACCTTCCAAGTCCTAAAAAAGAGGCGGTGCTCGTCCGGACGTGGCTACGTCCAAGCGAGGGTCAAGGCCCGGGTCGCAGGGTTCATTCCCCAAGCAATGAAACGTACTCAGCAGCATGCCCGGTGGTGTGACCAATGGTCACGTGATGCTGTGTCTAGTGGTATTGTGGCAAAGGCCGTCTCCAACGGCTCATCGAATGTCTGCTAGGTAGATAGAGAATTTTGATAGAGGAATTTTCTATACGAAGTTCCTTAGGATGGGATCAAAATATTTACTACTACAACATTTGCCAGGCAATTTGAGAAACAGTAGATCTGATCCTTACTACAGAAACATACAGTAATAGAAAGAAATAGTAACTATTCCGGGGATAGTTGCTATATATCCATTCCTCATAGTCTGCCATACTTCCACATTCCGTTCATTTTCTACTTAAAGAAAAATTAACACAACAACTTTTAAGTAATTCGGCGTCGTCGAAAATTTATACGCTTCATAAAGGTCTTGCTTAAGCTATGGCAATTAACGCAAACAGGTTCTAAAAAGTTTTTTGTCAACTTCAATGGGAAGGCCAGAAAACTGCTGTGAAAATGGGGTTTATTGTGCTAAAATACTTAGGTCGGCATTCGGCTTCTACATCGTCGTTGAGCAGTCGGTTACTTTTACATTCCTACCTTCGTTTCTGATTTCAGTTTTAACATTTCTCCGAATCAACTAGTAGAAAAACCGAGCGAAGGATTCGTCGCCAAAACACACCTCCCTCTGATCCATATCGTGGTGGAGGCCTGGATACGCCCTTGCAAGGTTACGCCAGGACTCCAGGGAGGACGAAGTTGCACGACCAGCAATAAGCCAGCCTCAGTACCCCGCACACTGAGTGCTACCGTCTATGACGTCAGGCGGTGAGACGACCAATGAGAGGCCAGAAAATCTCGGGTTACGTAGGACGTCAATGGAACGGGATCTGACGAACACACTTATGACATGCCAAGGAGATTCTTTCTTACCCTACACGTATAAAGCCAGAACACTCTCCACAGTCGCCGATCTTCACACTTAAAATTTTATGTGATCGCAGTGTAAGAAACAAAACTCGGGAAAACCGACGTACGCAAACCAAACAACAAGACCATCATCATCCGCGGAGAAGAGGTCCCGTGACGAAATGTCGGCAGCGTAGGCTTTGTCATTCACCCGTCCATTGTCCACCTCGCCGACTCATACGAGATCCTCTCCCCTCGCATAGCCCTCCTACGTCTTCAACTCACGCGTCATAGAAAGATCACAGCCATCAACTGCTACTCACCGACCGACGTAGCTGTTGAGTACGAATTAAATCCGTTCTACTACTAGTTGGAGGAAGTCATCCGCAATAATAAAGCATATAATAAATTTGTTGCTGGAGACTTCAACGCAAGAATAGGAAAGGCTAAAGAGAGCAAATACAAGATCGGAAATTTTGGATTAGGAGAAAGAAATGAGAATGGGAACCGTTTCGCAGGACTCCTATCAGCAGCACGTCTATTCCATGGAAACTCGTTTTTTCAGAAGAAAGGAAGCCATCAGTGGACATGGGATTCTCCCAACGGCATGACTACAAAAGTGGGCAATAGCCTGTGGTGATGACGAACTGAGGAAAGTTTCCACTAGGCCAACCTAGGCGCTCCAAGGAGCCATAGATAAAGCAGCGAAGCTCCGACCTCAGTACTCCACAAGCTGTTCGCTTCTTTGACGACATCGGGCGGACGACTGTCCTAGGCGATCAGCTCTTGGTTTACACAGTACGTCATTGAACACGGATAAAACGAACATATCTAAGAGCACGTAGAAATAATGTGGGAGATGCTGCGTTCGAGGTCGCCAGCTCCAATGGAGTCCATGAGTGTACCCACTGATCATGGAATGAGGACATATGTAAGGCCAAAAAATGGTGTAGAGAACACGTACTGTATCATCGTACCCGTAATTTCAGAGACAGTAGGCATAATGTCAGGTTGTGAGCAAGATGGGCACCTGTGAACAAAGGAAAGACCAAGAGTCTAAATCGATAGCAATTAGAGAGGTAAAAGGAATCATTAGATTCTTCTCATATCCAAACCGTCAGACAATCATGACTGAATAGTGGCGATTTTAATTATATTCTCTTGCAGTATTTCTGTTATAACAATAAATATGTCCAGAATTAACCTTGCAAAGGTGTTGGACCATCCTCATTTGACAAAATGGATTGAGTAACTCGCTGTCCTTCTTGATGAGCAAACACCAGTTTGTTACTATAACATGAGGAAGCCAAGCAACCACCTGCTAATTAAGAAAACAGTGAATTACTGATCATTACCGAGGTTCAAAAAATCGGTCCTAGAAATGACTACATGAAGAAGAGATCCAATTAACTGAAATTTGTTTCTAAGCTTTATGTGAGTGGAAGGTCGAGAAAAGATCGCGAATCTACGAAGGA